AAGCCCCCCCCCCCCCAAGTTGTATAGTTTAAAACACTGCAGAGCAAACTATGGGCTTCTTGTTTTGAAATGCTATGTCTCCCTATTTCCCTATAGGAAGGAACTCTTGCTCCTTCCTCCTCCTGGCTCTTGAATTTCAGGTCTTAAAAGAAAATGCTGAAAATGCTAGCTTGTAGGCTTTGCAGCTCCCCCTAAATAGGCCAGACAAAAGGAACAGAAGTGAAACTGGTGTCTTATCAGTTTCTCTGTTTTCCTTAGCATGGGATGAGCTGTTTTTTAAAACAACAGATTACTGGATTCTTTCCTTTGTTCCCCCCCCCCTTTTTTTTTTTTTGGTGGAATGGGGATAAGGGATTTGTTGTTGTGACAGGACCTTCAGAGGCTCAGGATTTTCAGGGACCATGATTTTTGCTTCTTGTTCTTAGCATTTAGGTAGCAGCAGAAGTGAAAATATGAATAGAACTTCAAAGTGTTTCTGAAAGTTTTGGGGGGTGAAAACAGTGGTGGTATCAAAATGCCCTAAATAAAAATTGGGTATAGAGAATGCTATCTGAACAGTAAGACCTCATAACTAATTCAAATAGTTGTTAATAATTTTGACCCAGTAACAGATGTTCATCTCCCTGAGTGTGAATTACAAGCAGACCTCCAGGTAACAGATAAATTGTACAACTATCTCATGTTTATAATACAGGAAGGGACTGGGGAGCCCATTCAGAGCTCAGTCTTCTGGATGCCCAGTGGAGTTACCAGTGGAGGAAGCTGTAACGTAAAGCTGAATAGTCCCATAAAGAGCATTGCATGAGTATAATTGACATCAGCCTTACCCATGCTGGGTGCCCATCAGATGTATAGTCATCAGAATTCTTAGGAACAATCATATTGATTGAGGGAATAGGGGAGTTGATCCAAACATCTGGAGGTACCTAGTTTGGAACAGGCAGATTTACTTAATTTACAACTGGGACAGAATGGGAGCATTGGCATTGAGTTCTAGAACATCCTTCCCAAACTTGCTGCCTTATAGATGTGTTAGAGGTAAAAAAACCCACAATCTTTTAAAAACAGTTAACACTGCTAGAGGAAGCAAAATTGAGGAAGACAGTTCTAGACTACCTGGTAAATTCTTCTGCCACAAACCACGCATTGTGGCTCATGAAACTACCCTTTTTGTCACCACCATGCAAAGCTAGTAGACCTGCCTTAGCTGATTACAGAATTGATGTCCTCCTACTCCTTTTAGGAAGGTGTACAAGGATGATTTGAAGATCACAGTGCTTAATAAAGTAGTTGAGGCAATAAGACAATTCACATTCAGCATGCACTGAGATTTGTAGGCAATACACTTATTTATTAAATTTATATCCTACTTTCCCTTTTTGGAGCTTAAGCTGACCCTACATGAGTATTAATTTATCTTTACAACAACAATCCTGTGGGTAGGTTGGTGTGAGAGACAGTGACTAGCCCAAAATCATTCAGCGAACCCCTTGGTTTGGCAGGGGGGGGGGGGATTTAATCTTGGATTCCCCAATCCCAGTGTAATATGCTACTTCTCTACATACAGTATTACCTATACTTGCTACTGTTTTTAGTTTATTTGGATTATGCCCTTGCTTTGATTCATGCCAAGTAAACATGATTTATATTAATTAAAGAATTACAGAGAGTTCTTGAAAATACTAGCACAAATCTCTCAGTCCTTTTAGTCAAAGAACATCCAGTTTTCAAAAACAGTATAGCAGTGTTTAGGATGCAACACATCAGAGGCATTTCAGTACCTACTTGTAATTCTCCTTAGTGTATTATTCTACTATTGATATATTTTAAGTTTAACAGTATGGAAATTTATTTATTAATTTATCCCAAGTCATTCTCAATGTATGTGATCAATGCCATCTTTCTGATACTGAGATCTCCAGACATATAATAGAGAGATGGCATAGGTAAACATATTGTAATGATCATTACATTTTTGATCCCTTCATTATGAAAGGCTGGTTATACTCACTGATAAGCACAGTGATGTTACAAGCATTTTTATTAATATTGTCAACATAAATATAGCAGAAATTTCTGTTCAGGATTTCAGCTTTGCAATAACAATGGTTTTTTTTTTTCAGTGTCTGAATTTAGACCACACAAAGTATGCAAGTTAAAAACTGATTAGCCTAA